AGATGGTAGATTACATTTGCCAGTACCTGAGCAATGTGAGAGAGAGACGGGTGACTCCTGACGTACAGCCTGGTTACATGAGAGCCCAGTTGCCGGATTCTGCCCCAATGGACCCAGACAGCTGGGACAACATCTTTGGAGATATAGAGAAGATTATCATGCCTGGGGTAAGAAATAAAGTATAATGATGACAGGAAAAAGTCATTACTGCCTGGGGTGAACACCAAATCCTGGGAATGCACAGGTTTTGGAGAACATTTATCTAAATAGGTAAAGCACCCAAAATGTAAAATAATCTAATCTTTTAGACATTATGTCCACAGAAGGATTCTGGGGATTACTGTTGTGTTCCTAGCTACAGTTTTAGGGGATAGACTGATTGTATTTTTGAAGTATTTTACATATTAAGAATAACTCATATTTGCTTAAAGGGAAACAATGATTTTCTGAAACTAGTGAATTTAGCTTCACATTGAACTGCATCATCTCAATTTCAGAGATGTGGAAACTCAAGCACAGCAAGGTGGAACATCTCTTACCCAAGGTCATGTACATAAGACTTGTCTCCTGCTCTTTGAATGTAAAGGTCGTCGTCTTCTTGTACATCCATACTGCAGATTCTGCTAAGGGAGTTCATATTACCTAGTTTGTTGTTCTATGTAAAAACTGTTCCAAAGTCTATTTTAAAATTTCCTTGTAGATGTTTGCAGAAACTCGGCCTGATGTAGGAGAGGTATTCACCTTAAACATGCTTACACTGGCATCCCTCATACAAGCTCCTTCAGGTGTGCAGAGAGAGGCTATATAGTTGTAAATTGCCATGTGTAGCTAAAGGCAAGCTGTTGTTTGGCAACATGAGCAGGAGCAAATTCGTTGCAAGGATTCCCCCTATAAAGATAAATATTTCTGACTCCATTGTGTAATGTTCGAAAGACCATTCTTTCCTGTTCAGAATCTTTGTCTGCCTGTTGAATTCAGATAAACACTCTTGCTATAATTTTGAATTTATCTAATAACGACATAGTGTTATCATTTGCTAGTGCTGCACTCCTGTTGATATTATCTCTGTAGCTTTCTGCTAGCAGATCTATAGTTGCACATATGTTGCTGTGATCCTTTTCCATCACTTTGAACAGATGCTAATCGCTACATCTTGTGCAGAATTTTGTGACGTTTTCAGACTTAACTTCTAGATAATTTTGTTCTAGGTAGTCCATTGGCA